ATGAGGCAGCCTCGTTTTCTATTGGCTGATGTTTATCTGGCCTCACTACATCCACAGTTGATAAATTTTCATTCTTTTTTTTTTTGGTCATCATAATTACAAGGCGGCTGCGTCTCTGTAATGGTATTTGAAACTTTCACTAACAATTTGAAACTTAAAAAAAAATCCTCCATACAACCTTTAACCCGAAGAGAGTTTGAGTAGTTTTTGTTGAGGGAATGTAGCTAAAAACAAAACAACTACATAATACCCCATTCTGTTTACTTCGCGTCTATTCCTATAAAAGTAGAATTTATTACCTAAAACGCTGAGACGTTTTTTAGAGATTTGTTCACGTGAGTTTGGTAGAACGTGGGCATTAGATAAAAGCATTAAAGGGACATTGTGTACTGTGGGTTACTATGGCGACGATCTCTCTAACCCCTTGTTATAGCTCATTGGCAGACACTCGACGCGCGCTAATTTTTCTAATACTCTGACATATACGGAGAAGCGGCGGCGCCATCTCCGCTAATGGATCATCATTACGGTGCTTAGTGCAAATGGCAAACATAAATTAGAGACAGGACGCAGATGCACGTGTTCTGATGGATGTTCTGCTGGTGCTTAAAGTTTGCAATAGTCGGTACACAGTGTGGGCACAAACAAGCCTGTACAGTGTGTTTTTGCAGAGCGTTTCACAATCAAGTCCTCCTCAAAACAGGAAGATTGGAAATGCACAATGTATTATGGAGTAAACGCAACGCTAATTCACATCAGCATGTCGGGACACGCTAAATAAAAGCGCTGCCTTTTGCTCTTTTTCGACCCGTGCTTCGTTTTTTTTTTTTGAGTAAAATTAGTCTTTCCTCAGTACAGATATATTTTATAAGCAGCTCCTGAGGTCAAAATAAGTCCGCCGTGTCACCGTCTGTGTCTAATTACAAAGCGTTTAACTGTACCATTAGCAGGAAGTGTGTGTTAGCATGCTGGTTGTTGTTAGGTTAATTCGACTCTGCACTTGTTTCTGAGAGTTGGGGAAAAGCGCTTGTAAATGGTGAGTGATTGGGACGCTCAGCTACAATTAGAACAATAATTTTGCCTCTGTAAAATAATGTATTAATTTCTTTCAAATATTTGGGAATCTGGTCCAGAGTCCTGCACCGGGTCGGGGCCCGGAGGGTAGCTGCTGGAACGGGCGGGTTTTAATGTTCTGGAATTTTACGGGCGGGTGTGTGGGCGATTAGTGAGCACACGCGCGGGTCGGGTGAATCAAATGAACGATGAACGGGAGAAAAACACTTGACGTGTGTCCAGGGCGTCGGTTGCCCTGGAAATAAATGTTCAGTCCTGTTTCAGTCCAGGTTTAGACCTGGTTTAGTCCTGGTTCAGTCCTGGTTTAGACCTGGTTCAGTCAGGTTCAGTCCTGGTTTAGTCTTGGTTTAGACCTGGTTTAGACCTGGATTAGTCCTGTTAGTTCAGTCCTGGTTTAGACCTGGTTTAGACCTGGTTCAGTCTGGTTTAGACCTGGTTTAGACCTGGTTTAGACCAGTTTAGACCTGGTTTCAGTCCTGGTTTAGACCTGGTTCAGTCAGGTTCAGTCCTGGTTTAGTCTTGGTTTAGACCTGGTTTAGACCTGGTTTAGTCCTGGTTCAGTCCTGTTCAGTCCTGGTTCAGTCCTGGTTCAGTCCTGGTTTAGACCTGTTCAGTTCAGTCCTGGTTCAGTCCTGGTTCAGTCCTGGTTTAGACCTGGTTTAGACCTGGTTCAGTCCTTGTTCAGTCCTGGTTTAGACCTTGTTCAATCCTGGTTCAGTCCTGGTTCAGTCCTGGTTAAGTCCTGGTTCAGTCCTGGTTTAGACCTGGTTTAGACCTGGTTCAGTCCTAGTTTAGAAATCCTGGTTCAGTCCTGGTTTAGACCTGGTTCAGTCGTGGTTTAGACCTGGTTCAGTCCTGGTTCAGTCCTGGTTTAGACCTGGTTCAGTCCTGGTTTAGACCTGGTTCAGACCTGGTTCAGTCCTGGTTTAGACCTGGTTTAGACCTGGTTCAGTCCTGGTTTAGACCTGGTTCAGTCCTGGTTTAGACCTGGTTCAGTCCTGGTGTAGTCTTGGCGTTTGACTCTGCAGTTGCTGCGTGTATTTATTTGCAATCCGCTAATGACACGGCATAGGTTTAGGTTTAGTCCTGGTTTAGTCCTGGACTATCAGTCTGACCCAGATTTATCACGGGCACGGGTCTGTAATGGATGGAAATGGGTCAGTGGGTCCGGGTGGGTGTGGATTTAACTTTGATATAATCACGGGTTAACGGGCGGGTGTGATGCTGTACTGTCCGGGTTCTGGGTCTCCAAAAATGGACCCGTGCAGGACTCTGATCTGGTCATCAAAAAAGATCAAAATAAATAATAAATAATCAAAACTCCTTCCTTCAGTGCCATCATTAGTTTGCCCTTTTTGTGATTACTTTTTTGCGTCGTAACTGTTTACATGACATTTGGATAATCTGATCACTCCAGAAGTCAGATCAGGATCAGATTTCGGGCACATGAACATCGTCAGTGTTTGGGAATCTAACTTGCAACCACCCGGCTCTGTCTTCAGCTGACAGTGCCCCAGCGTGTTTGTAGAACAGAGGTTGTGTTTTTTGGTCTCTCTGTTGTTTGAACGGGCCTCAGATGTGCACAGACCCGGTGAGTCTGTGACGGGAGGCTCATCCTGAAATGTGCTCTAAAGGTCAGGTGATAAGCGCCTGTCGGGTCGTTAATGAGGCGATCAAACAGACGGACAGGGGAAGCACCTGCCGACACGACACCTGTGTGACAAACGACTCCAAAGTCAGTGGTTCAGTTCCCGAGCTCCGACCACGTGCCTGTTTGTTTTGTACTTGGGCAAGACACTTCACCCAGCTCGTCTGTGGGTACGTGTGTTGATTTCTTTGAAGGGCTGTGATTTGGGAAAAAGATCAGATTTTTCTGACAAGTTTTGTGATTAGGTTTTTGATTTATGTTTTAATCACAGGATTCTGTTCAAAGTTCACATTTAAAACGCCTTGTGGAGAATTGACAAAAAGACTCTCTGTGGAGGTCTGAACTACAGGTTTAGCAGTTTTTCTGAAGAATAAGACTGGAGATTTTGTGTAAGAAATGACGGTACCTGTGCAGTGCAGAGGTGCCATGGAGCTACAAATTCTTTTTGTTGGGAGTATTTTGACCAGACAATGCAGTGTCCAGGTTTGATATTTCAGTCAGGTAGAGCAGATTGGCAGCTTTTCTGGAGCAGCCTGTCTACCCCAGGGCAGCTGTGGCTACTACGGGTGTAACGGTACAAGTGTTCATGCCAAACTGTTTCTGTATGAGATGTTCGGTTCGGTGCAGGTGTTTAGATTCCACCACTACATGTGCAGCTACAGAAGACTCGGCTCTTTAATGTTCATGAGGAACTCGTTCGTAACTGGGGCAGTGTTTCCTGCAGCGCTTTATAGTTAGGGTGGCTGCCTTGACAACAACTGCCCCTCACCTTGACCACGTCCCTCCAAACCACATGAATCCTCGCACAACTACAGTCGGTCCTCACTTTCACCTTTCACCAGCACGAAATCTCCACCCACCCCCTCTCCGTCCCCATACCCACGACCTCTGTCCCGAGCGAACGGGTGTTTTCAGCCTCTGGGGACGTTGTAACTGTCAGCAGATCTGCACTTACACCAGACAATGTGGACAAGTTTTTTTTTCTGGCCAAAAATATTAAGATTGAGTAGAAGTTCATGTTGGAACTGTTAGTGCTGCACTTAAATTTTTGAAAAGTTTGTTTACTGTTTACAAGGAATTTGTTGCTTATTTGAGAATATTTTATTTATTTATTTATTTATTTATTTGAGACAGGGACAGCGCACAATTTTCGCATTAACCTTGACAGGAGAGATGCATTGTACATCAGGTTGTAGCATCAGTGCTAATTTCCACCTGTAGTTTCACTGAACTCATTAGTTTTACCAAGCAGCACTTTGCATTCATTTTATTTTCCTGTTTGCATTCCTTTTATTTTCCAAATTACTGGTTTAATAAAAACAGAAATAAACACCAGGCAAATGGTTTTGCATTTTGTTGCCATAATGTACCGAAAATGAACCGAACTGTGACCTCAAAACCGAGGTATGAACCAAACCGTGATTTTTGTACCGTTACAGCCCTAGTGGCTACAAGAGTAACTTACCTCCACCGAGTGTGGAGAGATTGAATAATGACTACAGCTTTGAGAGTTTTGTTTGTGGTGGGCTGGGGGGTGGTGTTTAGAGCCATCACTAAGGCAAGAATTCAGAAAATTTTGCTCTTATTTACTTATTTAACTCTTACTATTTTTGTACATAAATAATTTCAAATAAAAGACACTGCAGATATTTGTTGCATCTTTTTTTGTTTGGTGCTTTATCATCACTGCAAACGCGCCGGATTAGCAGTTGTAGTTGTCGGACGTATCCTAAATTACAAATGGTTTCGTAGTTTTGGGCTTTGACCGTTGACAGCTGCTCACTGACCGTTCAGGCTCTTTGGGTCAACCACGTACAGAAACACATGTGCGTAAGAAGAATCACGGCGCCCTCTGCAGCGTGGAGGCGGAGATACGAGACAAAGAAAAAACAATTGAAACAGTTTTAAAAGACCACATTTACAGAGACGGACAGGTGCGGGTGACTAAGTATGCAGCACGGGTGAGACACTGTGAAAGATAAACTCAGAAAGCTTTTTACTCTAAAAAAAGTGAACATTGTGCATAGTTCGTAGTTTGTTAATAATAAAACCTTCTATTTGCTGTGATAACATGGAAGGAAGTGCAGCAATGTACAAGTGCACAGAGACACTTTCTCCCACATCACAATTCTTATGTTTTGTCTATTTTAGTGTTACTTTGATACAATAAACCCAAATACTCCTCGCGCTCAGTTCTAGGGTTGAGTCCACTTAATTCTCCGTCGCCATCTTTTTCCTTCTTCCCATTGCGTTAGAAATGAACCTGGTTTGTTGTTACTCATACCTCTCCGACCCAAACTACTGTGTTCCCTCTTTTAATGTCCGAAACTTCGCAGTGCGGCGTTCTTTGCTTCCCATTGAGAACGAAAAGCGATTCCGAAGAAGGCGTGACCAGGTATTGTCCAAACGGTCCGCTCGAAACGACGACGCGATTCGGCCCGCCCCACGGCCAGTCCTCGAGCGGTATCGGATGTTTTAGACTTTTTAACACCTCTACTCTTCCCGACGAAAGATCTCCAAACAGCAAATCCGTTCCCGTACCTGACGTCGCCACCACTAGATGCTGGTTGGACTCCGTGAACGAAGGCTGGAAAACTAAATCGGAAATCGCCAAAGCGTTGTGTAATTCCTGGTTCAGCTGCAGCTCTCCTTGGAACGAAACAGTTTGGACGGTTAGTTTAGAATTCTGCGTTTGCGGCGTTATGATGAAGCGGCCATCAGGCGAGACGAAAGCCGGGCCCGAGAGGTTGAGGTTGGGTCCGATGACAGTGTCCGTAACGCTGTCGACGAGGAGCTGAGGGGGCGGGGTTTTGAAAGTCTTGTGGAGGTTCTGACACTGGATGAAGTAGAAGCCGCTCATGTGGGTGTAGGCCATGCTCTGGGGGATGCAGCTGTAGTTTTTCAGGCTGATGGTTTTCACTCGGTGGAACGTCTCCAAGTCGATTTTGTGCACGGCCGGTTCGTTCTTCAGGAAGAGGAAGGCAAACCTGCATCGAGAAATATTAGAAGGAGAGTGAGGAGGATTTCTGGACATTTTAAAGAAGCTACTCTATATAGGGGCCCGGTCAAGCAGAAGTAAACAGCAAGGCCAAAAATTCAAGTTAATGCATCTGATATAAAAATGTATTGAACAGATACATATGTACTCTAGTTTATGAAACTGTTGACCTTTTTTCTGTACCATTTTTGGTTCTAAAGTTCCATACGTTTTAAACAGACCATGTATGAAACATGGAACAAAAATTATTTCCCAAATTTGACCTGCAAATCATGTAAATAAATGGATGTATTTCATCATATCTTGTGTTATTCCATCTTTGAACTGTTGATGAAGGTACATGATTTAAAAAAAAAGAATTAAAAATTAAAATAATAAAAATTTGCTTGGAAGGACTGACATATTTTATAGAAATAGTTTCCTTTCATTTTGAAGTAATATTAAAGTATTCGGAAGAAAAAAATTGACAAATTATGTAAAATCCTGCACCTTCTACTTGTTTGTACAATTTTCCCTCCGTTACTTTTCCCTCCGTTACCATGACCTTTCTTCATAAAAAATCTCATTACTCAAAAAGTAAGAGGTTTTTCAACCTAATCTTGTACCATATGGTAGAAAACTATATGAAGCAAATATTCAAACCAGTTTGTTAAGGATATGTAAGTGAGAACCAAGAGTTATCACTGTTTGGATTTATTGCCCAAAAAGTGCTGCATATTTCATTCCCTCCGTTACCGACATGAGTTTTAAAAATTTTTGTCAACAACTTGAAAGAATATCACAGGTTTAACTTGACCCTGTTGGAGTGTAACTCTTTCCTACATTCTGATACTTTACTTATTTCAATAGTTCCTCTAGTTTCTGAATAAGAGACATTTGAATGTCAAAAATCTGCCCCTGTTTCCCTCCGTTAACACTTGACCGGACCCATAGTTATAATCTAAGACACCTTCATTATGATAAGTGTTTCCCATCAAATGCTTTTCTCCATGGAGCTGTTATTGCTGGAATATGATATTAAACCTTTCTATCTTCACGGAGACCAGGTTACAGGTCAGATCTGTGGAGATACAACCCCACTCACAGTCAGAATGTCTTTTTTAAGTATTTTTGAGATATAAAACCACCTGAAATTGAACAAATACCAGGTTTAATGTCACACTGTGGAACATTCAAGGCAGAGCAATGATGTATCCATAGAAACAAACAGGTGACGAACCCCCAACCACAAAGTTACACAGTGCATCTTTAATAGAAGAGACTATTGGTAATTTGTCTGTAGTACTAGGGATGTAACAATAACCGAAATATCGTGATATTGTTTCGTCAAAGTTCTCACAGTAATATCGTGGACCATCACAAAATATCGAATTACAAGTCTCTTTCCTTAAATGAAGAGTTATGGTGCAGCAATAGATAAAAAACAGACAGAGGGAACTACATAGACCATGATCCTTTGCTCCATGTCAGTGTAGACGACAAGAAGAAATAACTGTTCTAACACTTTTAAGTCTTAGTTCTTTAGATTAAGTTTTGTCAAGGCATTTTAAGAGGAAAAAGTAGCATATTCACAGTTCTGTTTGCCTCCACAAAATATCGCAATAAATATCGTACCGTGAGATGTATATCGTAAAAATATCGTACAGAGAGATTTGGATATTGTTACATCCCCATTCATGAGCCTCCCCACCATATCGTGAGCTTTCTCATGATATCACAATAAATATCGTACCGTGAGGTTCATACTGTGATGATATCGTATCGTGAGACTTGGATATCGTTACACCCCTATGTACTACTGTCACAAACATGTTGGAGTTACTTTACTTAATTTGAAATCTATCCTCATGATTAGAAGAGACAATTGCCACTTTTACATCAGAGCTTTAATTACGAATAAATGAATTAGGTTGTAATTCAATGCAAGACAGATAAGTGTAATATCAGACTGTGGAGCATTCCAGGTAAAACATTTCCATGGAGACAAGCAGGTAACAGACACTCCTGCCACAAATGTATACATTTATTTTGATGAAATGACAGGAAATCCCATTCTTGTATGGCTTATTCATCTCTTTATGCCTCTTATCTAATATTTTGAGCAAAAATCAGTGAAGGATCTTCAGAGCAGTGGGAGAGATCACGAGACGCATGAGCACAAAATATGTTCATTTAACACTGATGATGACACAGTAAACACGTGTGATCTGCTCAGTCACCAGAGGGGGCGCTGTGATCTTACCTGACGTGGGTGATGATGAGGTTGGTGGGAGGGATGAAGATGTCGTTGACTCGTTGGAAGGTGGTGCGGACGGCGTGGTGCACCTCCCCCACACTGGCCTGAGGAATCACCTGGACAACAGACAACACACGAGTCAGGGGATTATGGGTAAACAAGAGACAAGACAGAACTTTTCAAAAGCATCATTCTGCTCACAGACTTAAATTTTGTGAGTTTATTCAGACTTATAAAAGCAACTGTGTGGTGCACAGTGTCAGTCTTGGCCACGGCCAGAGTTTGTCTGAATAAATATCAAGCTCCAGGTTTTGTCCAGTAACATCACTCCAGTTACAAATTACTACACTGTGTTGTTTTCATGTTTGTAAAAGGAAAAGTGGAGAGATGGTCTCATTCACGCTGGAGCTCTGGTGCTGTTACTGAGGAGCTCTTGTGTTTACTGTCACAAAGTCCTAACATTTGTGAAGCTCGAAACCACAGAGAGTGACCCAGGTGAAGTTAAAACTCTACTGAGTCGTCAAGACAAACAAAAAGAGGAATTTACTGATAAAGGGTGACAAAAGGTAAAAAACAAAAAAAAAACAGTTGGTTCCACTCCACGTTACCCACGATGCACCTGCAAGGGACTAAAATAAGGAGCTATAGACCACAAAATAATACAAAAAATAAAAATTACTAAGACAAAGTTTATGATAAGATTAGCAATAATTAACTGAAAGAAAAATGGAGATCAAATTATTTAGTGAACAAATAAAACACACAGACACACACACACACACACACACACACACACACAGACACACACACACAGACCATCGGTAAGTAAGAAACAACAACAATAAAATTAAATATTATTAAATGACACAACTGTGTTTAGGCTCCAACACAAAGATGGAACACAGACACAGTGAGAGGAGGAGTCACTGTGATCACGAAATGAAACGAATGACGAAAACTCTGCTATTCTGCCACAAGGCTGGATATGCTCTGTCTATAGGTGCTCTGTCTATAGGTGCTCTGTCTATAGGTGCTCTGTCTATAGGTGCTCTTTCTATAGGTGCTCTGTCTGTAGGTGCTCTGTCTATAGGTGCTCTTTCTATAGGGTGGTCTGTCTATAGGTGCTCTGTCTATAGGTCTGTCTGTAGACTGCTATAGGGTGCTTTGTCTATAGGTGCTCTTTCTATAGGTGCTCTGTCTATAGGTGCTCTGTCTGTAGGTGCTCTGTCTGTAGGTGCTCTGTCTGTAGGTGCTCTTTCTATAGGGTGCTCTGTGTATAGATGCTCTGTCTATAGGTGTTTGTCTATAGGGTGCTCTGTCTGTAGACTACTATAGGGTGCTCTGTCTATAAGTGCTCTGTCTATAGGGTACTCTGTCTATAGGGTGCTCTGTCTATAGGATATTCTGTCTATAGGTGCTCTGTCTATAGGGTACTCTGTCTATAGGGTACTCTGTCTATAGGGTACTCTGTCTATAGGGTACTCTGTCTATAGGGTACTCTGTCTATAGGTGCTCTGTCTATAGGGTACTCTGTCTATAGGTGCTCTGTCTATAGGTGCTCTGTCTATAGGTGCTCTGTCTGTAGCTCTGTCTGTAGTGCTCTGTCTGTAGGTGCTCTTTCTATAGGGTGCTCTGTGTATAGATGCTCTGTCTATAGGTGTTTGTCTATAGGGTGCTCTGTCTGTAGACTACTATAGGGTGCTCTGTCTATAAGTGCTCTGTCTGTAGGTGCTCTGTCTATAGGTACTCTGTCTATAGGTCTGTCTGTCTATAGGTGTGCTGTCTATAGGATATTCTGTCTATAGGTGCTCTGTCTATAGGGTACTCTGTCTATAGGATATTCTGTCTATAGGTACTCTGTCTATAGGGTACTCTGTCTATATCTGTCTATAGGATGCTCTGTCTATAGGGTACTCTGTCTATAGGTGCTCTGTCTATAGGGTACTCTGTCTATAGGGTACTCTGTCTATAGGTACTCTGTCTATAGGTGCTCTGTCTATAGGGTACTCTGTCTATAGGGTACTCTGTCTATAGGGTACTCTGTCTATAGGGTACTCTGTCTATAGGATACTCTGTCTATAGGTGTCTGTCTATAGGTCTGTCTGTAGACTGCTATAGGGTGCTTTGTCTATAGGTGCTCTTTCTATAGGGTGCTCTGTGTATAGATGCTCTGTCTACACGGTGCTCTGTCTATAGGTGCTCTGTCTATAGGGTACTCTGTCTATAGGTACTCTGTCTATAGGGTACTCTGTCTATAGGGTACTCTGTCTATAGGGTCTGTCTATAGGATACTCTGTCTGTAGGGTGGTCTGTCTATAGGTGCTCTGTCTATAGGTCTGTCTGTAGACTGCTATAGGGTGCTTTGTCTATAGGTGCTCTTTCTATAGGGTGCTCTGTGTATAGATGCTCTGTCTACACGGTGCTCTGTCTGTAGGTGCTCTTTCTATAGGGTGCTCTGTCTACACGGTGCTCTGTCCATAGGTGCTCTGTCTATAGGTGCTCTGTCTGTAGATTGCTATAGGGTGCTCTGTCCGTAGGTGCTCTGTCTATAGGTGATCTGTCTGTAGGTGCTCTGTCTATAGGTGCTCTGTCTGTAGGTGCTTGTGTGGGTGTACATGCATGAAACTGATGAAACTGGTGGACAGTGAAACATCTGCCCAACAGCAGCTGGAACATGTGCGTAATGTAAAATAAGTGAGTGTGTGAACCTGTGCTTCTCCTTCAGGGCATCTCCCCCCCCCTCCCCCTCCCGTCCCCTCCCCCGTCCCCTCCCCCGTCCTCCCGGAGCCTCCTGTGGACACCCCATCCTTCTTGGCCCCGATAAACCCCTCGTGCGGGTGACGTGTGGGCGACAGCGCTGTCACAAATGCCTCTCCCGCTCCGTGTCTGATTGAGAGCTTTGTTTTGGTGATGCTAGTCTGCTCTCATCGCTCCCGTCAGGTACAGCCCAGAATCAGCACTTTGAGACGAGCGTGAGGAGACGGAGACTCATCAGATCACTCAGATTACGCATTATTGCCCCTATTACACTTCTATGTGGAATTAATCGTAACGTATAACATATTTAGATCACCATGTAACTTTTTGGTGCTTTCAAAATGCACAAGTGACTCTACGGAACCACTTCAGACATGTTTTTGATGAGGGAACACTGTCATAAACACAGACTGTATAAAGAAGTGGACTGAGGGAGTGTGACGTCACCCATAGTGTTCATCTCCAGTCAAATGAAGCTCATCAAGGCTGCAGTTATAGGGGCAAATTTGGAGCTGTCAGTCAAACCCGTTGCTAATCTTGGAGAATGAAAGCATCTTATTTGTCATTAATGTTCATATCTTGATTTACGGACAAAATAGCAAAATAAAAACCCCAGGATGATGTAGAGCGGATTAATACAAACATTTTAACACCAAAATGATGAGTCTGACAGCAGCAGTTACAGAGAGACGGGTGACATTTTATGAATAGAAAATGAACTGGAGCTGGAAGCGCAGCAGTGAGTGTGTGTTCATGTACATCAGTATCCCGGTTATAGGCGAGTTTCAGCTGACGTCATTGTTATTAAAAGCCCGCGTTGCTGCTGGGAAATATTTTGGTCGGAGGCAAGAAACACGGTAGCGTCAAACACAGTGCGTAACCTCACGTATTTATCCCGATAATGGTAAATACCTGCTGCATTATCGGATGCACAAATAGAAGCACGGAAGAAGGAAAATGGTGAATTAAACGGCTTTCAAACATCCGCAGAGCAAACGTAGAAGATCCTAACAAACCGTGGACTCCAACAAGTTCAACAACACATCGAGACTCTTGGAGGTTTTCATCTTTTCTGCTGTGAATGGCCCAGGAGTTTCCACCAAGTCATTGTGGATATCGACGAAGTGAATATTTGTCCAGGTAGTTGGTGATTCTGACCAGAAATTTGGTTTGGTCCACCTTTTGTCGGGGTTGAAAAGGGTGATTTGTCGTCCGTCGATGCTTATGACCAATTTCTGGTCAAATGGTCTTGGGTCCTCTGCCGTTAGAGTGGATAAATAACCGGGATCAATACCCTTTACGTGCTTTCTCGCTCCGTCCGTCATGTTGAATTTAGTGTTTCTTGCCGCCGACCAAAATAATTCCCAGCATGCAACGCGCGCTTTTGTCAACAATGAAACTCGCCTATTAGCCATATCCCGGTTATGTCAGTGTTTGGAATATTGCGTATAAATGCACGCAGAGAAACTGGGACACTCATATCCATGTGATATGATCAAATGGAGTATCCTGGTTTCGTGACACAATCTTACAAATGTACAAGCGCAAAAATTATGTATTTAATAAACCAGGAAAAACACAAACAACCAAGAGCTCCTTTAGAAGAGGAAGCTCGGAGCTGGGAGCTATAAGATATCCCACAATCCACTGCACAGATCAAACCCAACGTTTCCAAACACACTGCAACATATTCTTCATTAAAATCTTCTGCATAAATAAACTCAACTTTACAACATATAAACCATAAACACTATAGAGCCACATCAGTGCATTTGATAACAGCATATTCAGCTTTGACACATTTGTTTACGTTTTACAGAAACAAAACTTAAAACCACATGACTCATTTGCATAAACTATAAGTGCTGAAAAAAAGAAAAGAAAAAGCTTCTATCGGACTGAAGGACAAGACTCAGTGGAATATGTGTGTTCTTTTTGTGACAGAGGATGTGCTGATGATGGTGAATCTGTTCGAGATAATTTAGTTGTGTTCGAAATGTTTAATATTTCAGCGATCATACGTTTGCAGGTCGTACGAGTGCAGATTGTACACGTGCAGCTTAATGCCGCTCTTTATTTTACAGTGATTTCACTCACTTTATTTATGTCGCTACTGTTGCGGTGAAAAGACTGAAAAGTGTTTGTCTTTTGGACGCATGCGCACTCAACTTTATGTTGCAGTAACCGGGATACTGCATATGGGTCCGGTCAAGTGGTAACGGAGGGAAACAGGGGCAGATTTTTGACATTCAAATGTCTCTTATTCAGAAACTAGAGGAACTATTGAAATAAGTAAAGTATCAGAATGTAGGAAAGAGTTACACTCCAACAGGGTCAAGTTGTTCAAAGTTGTTTGTTG